TAATTGGGCAATGTTCCTTCCGTTTAAATTTTTTTGGAATAAAATATTTCAGTTATATTGCAGTTAACTCTTCTTTGAAAGTCTGGTAGAATTCTGACTAATAACATCTGGCCCTAGGCTTTAATTTTTAGTTTTTAGGTTTAGTTTTAATTACCGTTTCTATTTTATTAGGGGCTATAGGTCTGCTTAAATTGCTCATCTCATCTTCATTTAACATTGTTTAGTTAAATGGAGATAATTATCCATTTCTTTTAGATTTTTCAGCTTTGTGGAGTACAGGTTTTTAAGTATGTCCTTATGATTCTCTGGACTTCCTTTATGTCCTTACTGGTAAGTCTGTTTGCTTCTAATTTCATTAAGTTGAATATTCTACTTCTGTCTTTGAGTTAAGGTGGCTACGGGTTTGTCAATTTTCTTGATTTTCTCAAAGAACTCTTTGTTTCATTGATTCTTCATGTTTTTTTTTTTTATTTCTAATTTATTGCTTTCATCCCTGAGTTTTACTATTTCTTGCCAACTGTTTTTTTGTGGTGTTATTTCTTCTTTTTTTTTTCCAGATTTTTTCAAGTGCATTGTAATGTTAATACTATGAGATCTATCATCTACCTATCTATCTATCTGTCTATCTATCTCTATCTCTCTATCAACATGTCTACCGTCTCTCTGTCTGTATCTGCACATTTAGACACTTAGTGCTATGAACTTACCTCAGAACCATCTTCATTCTGTTCCACACACTTCGATATGTTGTGCTTTCATTTTCATTCAGCTTTAGAAAGTTTTAAACTTCTTTCTTGACCAATTTTCTTTTTAAATTCATGACTGTGTTATTCAATGAGTTTTTTTAAAGCATCCTATTGTTTCTTTGGTTGAATCTATGGAGGTCAGATAGGATGCAAGATGTTATTTCAATTTTCTTGTATCTACTGAGAGGCACTTTGTGTTTAACTGATTGGGAGAAAGAGTCCATGAAGTTCTGAGAAGAATGTCTATTCTTTGGTGCTTAGTTGAAATGAACTATAAAAATCTATTAGGTCCATATGGTTTATGATTTCATTTGGCTCCAGCATCTTTCTGTTTAATTGTTTTTGGATGACTAGTATATTGATAGGAGTGGGTGACTGAAGTCACCCACTATCAGTGTGTTGTTTAAGCTATAGAGGTGTTTCCTTTATGAGTTTTTGTGTCCTTGTATTGGGTACATAGATGTTAAAACCGGCAATATCCTCTTGCTGGACTTTTCCTTTGACAAATATGTGCTACCTTTCTCAGCACGTCTGATACATTTTGGTTTGAAGTCTATTTTGACAGATATTAAAATGACTAAAGCAGCTTGCTTCCTTGCTTGGAATATTCTTTTTTTTTTCACTCTTTTACCCATAAGTGGTGCCTGTCCTTTATGTGGATGTGTGTTTCTCGGGTGCCGCAGAAGGATGGATACTCTATTGAAATATATTCTGTTACTCTGTGTCTTTTCTGTGGAATTGACACTGTAGATACTGAGGGTTATCAAGAGCAGTGTTCGTTGGTTCCAATTATTTTCGTGTGGGTTTTTTCTTCTTTCTTCTTTTGATTTTCTGTACTGACATTATTTAATCTTTGTGTTTTCTTGGGTGTAGTTAACCTCTTTGGGTTAAGTTTTCCTTCTAGAGCCTTCTGTAGAGCTCTGTTTGTGGATAGATTCTGATTAAATTTTATTTTTATCAAGGAATCTTTTTTTCTCCATCTACTGTGATTTAACATTTTGCTGGGTATAATAATATGGTCTGGTTTTAGTGGTCTCTTAGAGTTTGTACAACATTTGCCAAGACCTGCCTGGCTTTTAAAGTCTCCACTGAAAATTTAGGTTTTGTTTTTAAAAATAGGATTGCTTTTATATGTCATGTGGTCTTTCTCCTTTGTAGCTTTTAATAAACTTTCTTTGTTCTGTACACTTAGTATTTTGATTATTATGAGACATGGGGGATTTTTTTTCTGGTCTTCTCTCTGTTTTTCTATATGCTTTTTGTATGTTGATAGGCACCTCTCTCCTTGGACTGGGGAAACTATCTTCTATGATTTATTGAAAATACATTTTCTGTTTCTTTAACCTAGGCTTCTTCTTTTTCCTCTATTTCCACTATTCATAGATTTGGTCTTTTTATAGTAGTTTCTTGGGCATTTTGTGCCTGGACCATCTAGGTTGAATTTTTTTTTTTTAATAAAGTATGTGTTTCCTCTATCTTGTCTTTAATGCTTGAGATTCCATTTTTTTATCTCTTTTATTTTGTTGCTGAGTCTTGACTCTGAATTTCCTGTTCAAGTTCCTAAATTTTTCATTTCCAGTTCTCTTTATTGATTCCACTTCTAGATGCAAGTCTTGAACTATTTTCTTCATTTTTCTCACTGTTTCTGTTTCGGTAAATTTCTTAATGAATTATTCATTTCCTCTCTAGAACCTCTAACACATTGATAAAGGCTCTTTTATGGTCCTTGTCTTGTGCTTCAGCTATAACGCATTTCTTAGGGACTACCATAGTTCTAGGCTCTAGTGGAGACATTTTATCCTGGTTGTTATTGTTTGTGTTTTTATGCTGACATTTAGGCATGTAAGTTTGGGATGATTCTAGGTGCTATTATATATAGTCTTGTCATTTTTTTTTTTTGGGTGGATGGTTTGCTACTTAGTTCCTGTTGCCCTTTCTGGTCCTTAAAAGAGTGTGGTGGTTTTGTGTTCCACAGTGCTTCCAAGATCCTGCCAGATATGCCCCCGAGAGTTCTTATTAGAATATGTTTCTTGGTATTGGAGGCTGATACTTAAGCCTGGAGATGAGCTGGAAAGGGAGGGACTGAGAAGGTCCACCAGAGGGACGAAAGTAGAGTGTGCCATCAGAGTCTGTTTAGTCCCCTCAGAACTGAGGCAGAGAGGGAGGGGAGGCCAAAGATGGTAGTCTGAGACAGAGCTGGGAATGAGACTGGGAGATTGGGTTTGGAGGAGTGGAGGAAGAATGGAGATCTGAAGATTGCCTGTGTGTTTCCCTGGCTGGTGTGTCTGCCATGTCCCCAGGGAGTGCCTGTGGAAACAGGTGGCACAGAGAAAGGGATGGGGTCTTAGAGGAGGCTCTAGGAGAAGATCAGCATGGGGTCAGTGAGGAAGGAGAGGTCACAGTAGGTGATCTGCTATAGAACTGGGGGTGAAACTTGGGGAATGGTTTTAGAGAAGAGAGTGAAAGTGAAGGTCTGAAAATCACCTACCTGCTTCACTGGCTACTGGGAGTACTTATAAAATGGCTTTTTATTATAATGTTGCCTTATCAAAATTTATGTGAATATTGTAATAGACATGCAAAAGGCAATATGTTTTGCAAGGATATCACATGGAAGTTCACATAAGAAGAAAATAACATATCTACTGTGTGTGTGCATACATGTACATGTTTGTGAAAGGGGGACAGGAGCGGGTACACTTAGATGTTCACTCGAATGTGTGCAGTCCCCAGGTTGAAACTGAGATGTTTTCCTAAGTCACTCCTCATTTTATTTATTTATTTTTTGAGACTGTGTCTCTCACAGAGCCTAGAGCTCAATAATTCAATAAACTAGCAGGCCAGTGTATATCCTTCCTGGTTTTCCCATGAGTGCTGGGATTTGAATTCGGATCTTTATGCTTTTATGAAGCACTTTAACATACAATCAAGTCACTTTCTCAGCCCTAGGGTATTCTTTTGATTGATAATATTTCTCCACTAGATGCTAACAGTCATTTCAGTGTTTGTGTTGTCCCCAAATTCCTGCACTGGGATCCTTAGAGGTAACAGCTAGGACTTTTAGAAGTGGTTTTTCTCCTTTTCTTTCTTAGTTACTTTGTTCTTCATTTCTCAAGAGGTATTTCAAAGTTCATGATAATTTTTCTATAGTATCCAATTTTGCATTTATATCTTACATTTCTCATTGTAACTTAAAGTATATGAAATGCTGTGGTTTCTATTTTAGTGAAAGCATAGCAGCCTGTTTCTTTGTCACTTCTGGCTCACCTTTAATTCTGTAGTCTGTGGATCCCAGGACAAATGTAGACAGAATAATAATATATAAAGCCTCTGAGAGGTCTATAACATGGGCCATGTAGACTCAATTAAAAAAAAAAACAAAATTTTATTTTTTTCTACAGTGTGAGCTGTATCTTTGAGGACGTAGCCCTTTCAAGTTTCAGATTACCTTGAGTTTTTCTTGAATCCCCAAACCTATAATCCCTTAAGTTATATTTCTTCATAATTACCCCGCTGATTAAAATGAACATTCAAATGGGTCACAGTTTTCAAATGTCATTGCTGTTCACTCACATTTTGCCTTCCACATTCCCATCTGGCTGTCCTTCCAAACCTTCTTTTGTCCTTCCTTCCTTCCTACTTTCCTTCCTTCCTTCCTTCTTTTATTCCTTTCTTTCTTTTTGAATTTTACATCATGCATATCAGCTCTCAGGCATCAACATTTCTCCAGATTGTTGAGGCCCAGACCAGGGACATCTGCCTGGCCTTTGGTGGTAACAGACCCCTGTTGCAGTGCCAAGGTCCTAGATGTGGCCCTTGGTGGTAGCATAGGCCAGGACACTCCATGGTTCCAGGTGGTATCACCAGTTCTGCCTTGCTTCACTATGCCATATCCTTTTTCCTGTTCTCTTCCATTTCTCATTACTTACTTGTTCATCTTATTGGCACCTGGGGTCTCTGAGTGTTGGTGGTCTCAGGAATGCTATGCCACTCTTGTACATTATTGCACCAGGGAGGGTTCATGTTGGGCATGGTCTGCCCTCTTCCCCTGCCCCCTACAATGTGGCAGAGGCTAGTGGTCACCTCTGCTATCTCCCTGTCTTGGCCTCATGGCATCTATCTGGTGGTTGTATTGGGCTTGCTTGCTTACCTTGCCTGCCTGAGTGGCCCCATGTGAGGGTTGTCTGTCTTGGGAGCCCATCTGAGCCTGCATTGCTCAGGACTGGTGATCCTCTCTGGCTCTCTTTTTAAGAAAATTTTAGGCTACTAATCATTTGAATGTTCACTGGTCAGAATAGTGAGCACAGTCATTGCCTCTCTCTCTTCTCTGCCACCTACTGACTCACATGTGACACAGCAGCCACACGTGGAAAGGCTCTTTGGGCAGGTCCAGCTCAGTTTATAAAACTAGTATAAGCCACTGGCATCTGAGGAGTACATGAAAATGATGAAGATCACAGGGCATTCCTTTAAAAAACAAAGCCCCTGGAGCATCCTCTGATATGCATTCTTTTGCTTTTTTTTTCCAAGTGAAAATCATATCTGGTTTGGATCTAGGAGTCCCAGGGAGACCAGATTGCTGTAGTGTTCTAGCATCCCATTTCTATATGCAAGGCTCCCTGGGCAGAGCTCAGCTGTCCCCACTCCTCCTGGGTGAAGAGCACAGACACATCCTTGAAAGTCACCAAGTCCTGGGCAAGAGCTAGAGGTGCCTGACTGCCATTCCTTCTTTCTGGCGAGCCGAAAGCATGCAGGAGGCAGCTCAGGAGCTTTACAGCTGTGGGATTCCTCAGGCGGGAAGCGTCTGCACGCCTGATGGTTGCTCTTCTGCTTGGATCTGGACACTGCTGGTCACGGCGGGTCTGCTCATGGAGGCGAATCCACCCCCGTGACAGCACAGCCGCCACACAGCAGCCAGGACGCAGCGAGCTGGAGCCTGCCTTCCAAACCTTTCACAGAGGAGGTTCTTACTCTTTGTCCTGAGATGTTTTCACTGGGTTAGTTCCTCAATTTCTCAAGATATGAATTAAAATGACTGCTTTGGATTCTGACCGTTCCTTATTCAAGTAAAAAAAAAAAAAAAAGTTTATGTGTGTGAATACTTGACTGCATGTGTGTATGTGCTTCTCCAGCGTGGAGTGTCTGTGGACGGCAGAAGAGAGCGTCCCCTGGAACTGCATTAACAGACAGTTATGGTCTGCGAGCGAGGAACCAAACCTGAGCCCTCTGAAAGAGCAGCAATTGCACTTAATCACTGTTCTATCTCTGCAGCCTGAATTTTGTCTCTCTCTCTCTCTTTTTAAAATCTCTTTTAGAGTCTAAAAATAAACATTAGATGTTTATGTTTATTCATGCCATCAAATTTGATGGCATGAATTAATGTGTGATAGGGCGTTGGTCCCAATGTAAAACCATAAGGGAGGACTGCTCCCCCCTTGGGGGGGTGGGTGGGGAGGTCAAAGAGCCTGCCATTGAGTTCCTGTCAGAAACCGTATTTTTATTGGTCTTTTGAGAATTTTGTACATTCATGTAAAATGTTTTCATCAGATTTGCCCTCCATGTCTCCTCTTCTTCTTTTTATTATTAGTTACATTTTATTAACTCTGTATCCCAGCTATATTCTTCTCCCTCATTCCCTCCCAATCCTTCCCTTCCTCCCTCATCTCCTCCCTGCCCCTTTCCAAGTCCACTGATTGGGGAGAACCTCCTCCCCTTTCATCTGACCCTGTTTTATCAGGTCTCTTCAGGACTGGCTGCAAAGTCCTCCTCTGTGGCCTAACAGGACTGCTCCTCCCTTGGGGGGTGGGAAGGTCAAAGAGCCTGCCATTGAGTTCCTGTCAGAAATAGTCCCTCTTCCCCTTACTATGGGAAACCAATTTGTTACTGAGCTACCACGGGCTACATCCAAGCAGAGGTTCTAGGTTATATTAATCCTCACTTAGAAAGACAAATGGGATGTGCATTGGACGTAGGAAAAAAAAAAGAAAAAGCAATAAGACAGGAGCCTATCACAGAGGGCCTCTGAAAGACTCTACCTAGCAGTGTATCAAAGCAGATACTAAGACTCATAACCAAACCTTCAGCAGAGTGCAGGGAATCATATGAAAGAAGGGGGAGTTAGTATGGAAAGGATAGGAGCTCCAGGTCTCTTCTTACTTACTTCCAGCTAACACCCCTCACCTCTCATAAATTTAAGTCTTCTGATTTTTTTTTCTTCTTTTTTTATAACTCATATCTAGTTTGTGCTGCCATCCACTGGACCATAGATAACTACCAGAGGCCACATCACTAAAGAAAACAGGTTATCCTTCCCTTAGAAACCATCAGATGGCCGTATTTCCTCAGTTAGCGGTGGGGTGGGGGTGGGGTGGAGGTCGTGATCTCCTCTCCCCTTTATTTGAGAAGGTTGACTGGACGCATCCTACACAAACCTTGTACAGGCAAACACCGTGGATGTGTCTTCATGAGTGGTGCCTTCTCATCTCTAGAAGATACAGGTCCGTTCTGGTCCTCCCTGACTTGGGCCCTGTAATCCTTGTGCCCTCTCTTTTATGATGATCTCCGAGTCTTGGTGGGGAAAAGAGCCTGATGTAGATGTCCCATTTGTGAGTTGCAACCATTCCCTCGCTTTTTACAGAGAAGAAAAGTATGACTCACAAGGACCAACTAATCTCAGAACCATTGAAAGACCTGTCTATCTTTACCTTTGTCATCACACAATTAGAAGCTTCAGGAAATTTTTAGTGTCTATTACTGTTAGGCAAAGGTAAAGAAATCCATAGGAATCAGGGTTAAGAATTAGACCCACAATGGAAACAACTAAGACAGTGACAGCACTAGCTCAGCAGTGGACTAGGCTGTTCTGTTTCTTTGAACTATTATACACTCTATAGCTTATCTGTGAGTTGTAATATTTCTCATTTGTCTCAGAACTATTAGTATATGAGTCATACCTTTAACACACAGTATCTCTAAACCCATGAACATACCCCTGCATGAGGTCAGCTCTCTATTTGAGTGACATGGCTCTGGCTATGCCTTCGTTTTGAGCAGCCAGGTCTAGTGACCTCATTTTTCCCTGATTTTAATGCTGACATTTGATTACAATTTAGAGTTACTCTTGTATGTTCCTCTCTGGCACGGAGAGACTTGGTGATCTCACCAACATTTATCTCTGACCTTAAGTACTCTGAATCTTGCTATTGTTTTTATATTTCATTTATTTTATTGTTTGAGCCAAGGTCAAATCCACACCGTGGGATCTGAATAATCTAAAAGGCAGCTGTCCTTGGTTACATTTACTGCTTCCTGGAAATGGTCTGAGACATGGCATAGCATGCTGCCACATACATGCGTTGGAGATAAATGTTTATAAAAGCGTGGAATACAGATCAAAACAGGAAGAACTGGCCTAGTACAAGACCACAACTGATGTTTTACCCTCTACTGGCAGATTTACTGTATCAGCCTTTGAGATTTTTCCAAACTTTGTTTTAGGCCTTAGACTTTGTATCTGTTCTTCCCCACGGGTGCTCAGCCCATTGTGCAACCTTCAGGTAAGGGTTGGCCACTACAGCCAGTTGAGGACAGTTTCCAGAGATGATACTGTTTATAGTCAATCAGCTATGATATTCCTAATAGATGGGAATAAGATTCTTGGTCCAGAGTTGGTCCAGGTGTGACCCTGTAGTCCTCTTTGAAAATCTAAGTTCCAGAAAGAAATAATGTCAAATGGGAAATGGGAGAAACATGAAGCTGTTTGCCAATTCCCAAGTAAGAAGTGTCCACTAGTTCCTGAAATGCAGCATTACTGTCAAACTTTTTGTTAAAAGCAGGATGGTTTCTTTTTTTAAAAAATCTATATGTACATTGTATATGCGTGTGCATAACACATGTGTGCAGACATGTATGGAGGCCAGTAGGGGGAGTCATATTCCCTGAACATGGAGTTACAGGTGGTCTGTTGTGAGTCTCTTGACATGAATCCTAGGAACTGAACTCAGGTCCTCTAGAAGAGCAGCAAGGCCTCTTAGCTGCTGAGCATCTCTCTTGCCTGACTATCAGTTCATAATTCTTTAACTATGTATGGCTGCTGTGTGCCCTGGGACTTCCTATCCTCTCCAATTAACATGGGCCACAGTCAAGATACAACATTCCTTTTCCGTTGTCAAATTATTCAAAGTCTCCTCTTTGGTTTATAAAAATTGTGACGTCTGATCTATCATCTAACATTTTTTGTAACATTTTAAATAATTCATCAACTTTTTATTTTATTCCCTTTCCAAGTCTCCTAATAAGTAGTCTAAATTTAATGTGTAACTTGGAAATTACCTCAATACACCATTGTAAGACTTTAGTGCATAATCACCTCAGTTTCAGAAGAAAAAAAATAATTGTGCCTGATATTTGTATAAGACTTCACATTGAGACAAAGTATGACAGAGAGACGAGAAACGGATATAAGATCCAGATTGCCTATCTTGAAAATCTCAGAACTGCCATTTGAATTTTTTTCCAAACTTAGTCTGAGGCCTTAGACTTTGTGTCTGTTTTCCCCCACATCAGCTTTGTCACTGAGCAACCCTCCACCAAACTGTGAAAGTTAGGACAAGCTACTTACTCAATCTGTGCCTTAGTTTTCTGAATTGTAAAGTGTGACTAAGTTGCTCTCCTCAATGGCTTGTTTTGAAGATTAAATGATTCAATAGGTACAAGCTATTTCAGACACCATCTTGCAACAAAGCAGAAGCTAAAAGTTTTATGTGCTTTACAAATAAATCCTATTTAGATACTGTAACACATTGGTTAAAATAAACAGCATCTAAAGATTAATGAAATAAAAAATAATCAATTAAAATAATTAATTAGATTAAAAAGCATTTCAACCCAGTATCTTCATTTGGTCCTGATAAAGTGCTGTGGGGAAGGGGGAATCATGACTTTCAACTTACAAGCAGAAGTACAATCCTTTGTCTCCCAAACTGATTCTCCTGGCAATGGTTGTTTTAGGGAAGCCTTCTGGAAGATCTGCCACAGTGCTCCCCAATGGAGCAGGTAGAAAGCGGAGGCTGTGCTTTGTAAAATCTCAGAAGTAGCGCTCACTCTGTCAGGATGTGCGTGTTGAATCGAGACAGCGCAAGCAATTTGGTTCATATAGGATTGTTTTTTTTTTTTTTTTACTTTTCTTTTTTTAAATTTTTATTAATTACACTTTATTCATTTTGTATCCCCCCATAAGCCCCTCCCTCCTCCCCT